ATATTTATTTAACATATTAACTGTATTATGATAGAAAATAACAACATAATGAAATACAATAAATAATAACATGAAAAATAAACAATAAACAATATAATATAAAACAACAGAATAATAAAATAAAGAAGAACGTAATAATGTAAGAATAATATTAATGAAATAAAATGGGAACGAAAATAATCAAAGAAATAATGCATCCAAATAAAAATAAATAAAGAGAATAATATAATAAGAATGAAATAAAGAATAGAAATATACATTAGAAATAAATTTTCAAATATAATACCAAGAAATAAACATAATAAAGAATGAATAAAAACACCACAAAAATGAATAAGAAAGCAAACAATATAAAATCAAAAATATAAACATCGAATATAAAGAATAAAGAAAACACTTCTCAATAATCATAAAAATCCATTATTCATATTTATTAATCAAACTTTTTGGTAACGAAAAAAAGACATAAAAGAATAAAAAGAATAAAAATATATAAAAGAATAAAAATAAAGTCGAAGAAGAAAGAAGATAAAGAGTAATAAAATAGAATAGATAATAAAAGAAGAAAAGAAAGAATGAAATAAATGGTGTATTTTATTGTAAAAATTAGAAATATGAAATAAAAGTGTCTAATATAATGGTGTAAAATAATTGGTATTGTTTTATTGTTGAAAATAATTTATTATTTTTATGTTTATTATTTATATGTATAACTTCATTATGATATTTATTATATAATCAATCATAAGTGTTATGTTATTATAACATATAATAAGTGATAAAATATAAATGAAAATGATATGAATATATGATATTAAATATAGAAAAACAAAAGAATAATAAGAATAAATGATAAATAAAAGGAAAAATGATAATCAATGATATAATAATAAAATCAAAATATAAAATATAAAATATAAAAATAATATAAATCAAAAGAGAATAAATATAAAATGAAAATAGATATAAATGATAATAATATAAAAGATGAATAAAAACATAAACAAATAAACAAATATATCTAAATAGAAAAGAATAACAAGAAGAAAATCTAAAGAATATAAACATCAAAATCATAAAATAAGAATAATATAATAATATAGAGATAATAAGAAGATGATATACATAATATAAACAGAGAAATAAATAAAAAAAGATATAAATATATACAAATAAGATATAAAGAAAAGAATAATAAAAGAATAAAAATAATTCAATACAAACAATTAAATATGAATAATCAAATCATCTATTTCATTAATATTTCATACAAAATGAATACAAGTGAACATAAAATATAAACATAAATATTTATATATTCTGTATTTATCATACTTTTTATTTTTATTTTAGGAGCAAAATATAATAAGTGGAAAAATCTAATGATGCAAAATATTTTGCATCTTTTTTCTTTTTTGTAAATTATTTAGATGCATTTTTTCTTTGCTAATTTTCGTTCCCGTTACACCTATACCTTCTTTTCATTCTCATTTTATCTGCCTTATGTTTCTGTATTAAATATTAACATTTTCTTATTTCTTATTTCTTTCTTGATTAATTATTCAATTTGTTTTTTTTTTCTATTTATCTTCTTCTCTCTTATTATTTTCTTTATTGGTTCTTGACTTAATTCATTGAACAAATAATGCATTGTTTCATTGTTCTTTAAAATAACACACTTAATTAATATTAAACAACTCTTTACTAAACAATTAAAGAATTAACTTAATTTTAATACAATAAATGATACAAAAGATTAAACCAAGTATTAAACCCAATAATAAGAATAATGAATGACAAATAATGAACGAACAACAAAAGAAGTACTTCATATTTCATTTCCATATTAACCATATTATCATGAATGAACATCAATTAATAATAAGTATTATAAAAATACAAAAGAAAATACTTAACTTATTAAAACAAAATAATTGAAAAGTACAATAAAAATAAAGAAAGAGTTAAAGTAAAGTTATAATCAAACAAATAAATTAATTCAAAGTTTTTTCATCAAATCCTTATTGTTTCAAATTCTTCCTTCTTTACATAATATTCTATTTATAATTCTAAAAAGTGTTTGGGAAGATTAACTGATAGTAAATGGAAAAATTTGACAGATTGTATTTATTAATCTTCTATAAACCAAGAATTATAATCATCAGAAGGTTCAAAAAAGTGAAAAGAATCAAAATTATTTTGTACATTTGCAAAACCAATTCTTTCCAAAGTTTATTTTGTTTATTAAAAACCAAAAAAGGTGTTATAAAGAAAAAAGATGAAACTTAAATTATGGAAATACCAAAATCAAATGAAACTTCCTTTTCCTCAAGTGGATTAAATTTACTAAAATAACATTTTCAGACAGAAAGTCAAACAAACTCTCCTTAATCAAAAAGTGATTATTGTTCAACATCACTTCATTCCATCTAATATTTAAACACAATTAAACTAATCTTTATCATGTCAAAAGTATTTACAAGTAAAACTGTTAAAATTACAATCAATCAAGATGATTGTATTGGGTGTGAGGCTTGTGTCCAAAATTGTCCTGTTCAAGTCTATGAAATGATAGATGGTAAGTCAAACGCAACAAATGTTGATAGT